AGCTGCAGCCTGACCAGTGCCGCATAGAGGGGGAGGATCACCTCCCTGGACCTGCTTGAGATGCATCTGTGGATGCATGACAAGGTGCGGTTGGCCTTCCTGACCGCGTCCCCACACTGTCGGCCCATGTTCATTTTGACATCACGGGCTTACCCTAGGGCCCATTTTCTCCACCTCTTGGGATGTACAAATCAGACCAGACGGCGGCAGCGATCTCACATCATTAGTTTTTACTGTCTCAGTTTAGAAAGCTCATTGGTCAGTTCCACATCTGCATTCCTAGGGCTGAGGCTGGACACTGAGGGAAGCAGCAGTCTAGGCAAAGGAATGATATATACACAAACACTCCAGAAAGTCTATATAAATACAGATGTTATTAACACACATACAGTATGTCAAGGATCAGCTAACGCTAGGAGCCCCAGCTTACTGGATATCCTGCCAGAATACAACAAAAATGTGCAATATAGTTCCCTAACTCTCCTCCAAGCCCCCAAAGGCAATACAGATGACTTAGAAACATCAAACTCCTATTCCCTTCTACTGCTCCACTCTGCACACGTCTCTCAGCAGAGAGCTGCTCTGCCCAACTGCTCAGCGCTTGGAGATATGCCTCCCCGCCCCCTCACCATCCCTAAAGTGTAGCCACTGGGCTCTGGGCCCATGACCAAGTTGCTTAGGGTTTCTCAAGGCTGAAAGACTGGTTGTGCTTGGACTCAGGGGGAGCTCAAGTTCAACCTCTGAAGGTCAAAGCAGCCTTGATCCAAGACCAAGGAAGGTCTAAGATGTTTCACTTTTTTCCCCTCTTCCACCTCTCCCCAGGAATCCAGGGCTCGAGGCTGTGTCCCTGAAACACAGCACTTGTAAGATCTAAATTAAAATAAGATGAAACAAGAGCCTCCTACTACTCTGCCTTGTCAGAGCTCGGGCTCTGGCCTCTATGAACAGAAGCTCCACCTGGAAGTACCTTCAAAATAAAAATCTCGGGGACATCTCACCGCCAACAGTAGCAGCAATGCCAGTGTCACAACAGGAACACACCCAAGGCAGCAGGTTTGGGACAGGAAGATCTGAAAGCAGCAATGGGGAATGCTACAGGCTGGTCCCGTCATCTTGAATGGGTACCACTAATCCCTCACCCGAGGCCCTCACGCCCATGCATCCTCATCCAGCCCTCCCGGCTCTGTCTGGCCCTGAGGTGGCTCGATGAAGGAGGAGAAAACATTGTGAAAGACTCTCCAGGGCTTGTGCTCCACTGGGCGCTTGGAAGGGCTTCCCTTGGGTGAGGTGCTTCCTGCTGGGGACTTGTCTGCTATCTTGTAGCTGAGGGGTGTGGGGATCTTGGAGGGCTTCTTATCTGGCTGAGTGTCAACACGTGGCTTGGCCTTGGGCCTCAGCTTCAGTTTATAGATGGAAGGCACTCGGTCTGGTTTCTTCAGGTACTTCTTTTGCCTCAGTACCACTTCCTGAGTCTCAGATGCATCCAGTGTCCCGTCTAGGGATATCTCCCCAGGAGGGCCCTCCTCGGTTTCTGTCAGCTCATCCTCCATGTCATCAGCCATGAGCAGCCCCAAGTCTGTGTCAGAGCTGACCACCTCCAAGATATTCAGGGGAGCATCTGCACCCAGTTTGGAGACTTCCGTCCCTTCCTGCCCTTCCAGGACATCATTCAAAGCTGTGTAGTAGTTACTTTCATCAGAGGAACTTGAGAGCACAAGCTTTCTCCGGCACAGTGTTGGCTCCAGGCCCACCTGGGAGTCCCAAGAAGAGCCGTTCTGGAGCTCAGCAGGGGCCATGCTGCAGTCAGGGGCCCAAGGGCGCTGGGACACAGGGTTCCTCCTGGGTTCGTCTTTGGGCCGCTCGCTGAAGTCTACTGGGAAGCCATGCTTGCAGAAGAAGCTGAGGGAGGAAGAAGAGGAGCTGGAGGAGCAGTAAGCTGAGTCAACAGCTGCTTGGTCTGGCGTGGTCTGCTGGAGGCGGGTAGTGTCACAGGGACGGCCCAGGGGCTCAGCCTCCTCCCCATCCAGCTCCATTAGCTGGGAGTTGGCCAGGAACTCCTCCTCCAGGTGCTGGTAGAGCTGCTGTTCCTGGCTGGGGTCCAGGCACAGGGGGAAGCGGAAACTCTTCGCCAGCTCCTCCAGGTCCTGGTAGAAGTTCTCGGACAGCTGCCTCGGCGGCAGGGGCTCCCTGGCCGGCCGCTCCTGCGCTGGGACCCTGGCTTCAACCTCTGGCCCCTGCCTCTGCCTTGGCTGCTGCTTCCTGAGTCTGGGAGTTTGCTGTGGCACCCGGGGCACGTGCTCTGCCATCTTGCTGGTGGGAAGCGAAGCCCTCCGGGGGATTGGAGTAGGGCTCTGCGACAAGACCCGAGGAACTTGCCTGTGAGCTGGGCTCATGGTCCTGGGCGTGACTCTGCCTGAGTCTCTGATGTTCTCCTTCAGCTCCTCAGCCCGTGTCCAGGAGTGCTGCCCGTCCTTGCCGCGGCTGATGAGCAGCACGGGCTCCCCACCGCCCCTGCCCTGGCTGTGTGCTCGGGGGGCTGGCTTGCTGGGCCGGCTCAGCCTGTTGGAGAGGCGAGAGCGGCCCCGCTCCTCTGGCTCTGCTTTCGTGGGCCCGGGAGCTGGCTTCATCCCTGAGAAGGTGCCGCGGTCCCGCGACTGGCTGCGGCTTGACGGATGCCTCTTGGGGGTCTGGGGCCTGGCCCCTCCCTCAGTCACGCGCCTCCCAGCTTCCCTCCTGTGCAGACTGAGAGGGCCACTGCTGCTGTCTTCACCGCGCTGCCGACCCAGGATGCCGCTCTGTGCAGACGATGCTGAGGAGTCGCTGTCTCCAGAGTAGCGCCGGATTCTGGGGGGCAGCTGGTCCCGGGGCCTGGAAGAGAGGGGAGCACAAGAAGGACAGGATGTCAGCACCACATGTAGGCAGGGGGAGACAGATGGTGACCATGCTCCTCACTGACCACCACAGGCTTCTCCCCGGATCCACGGGCTGCTCAAGTGGGTGGTCACAGCACCCCCAACCCAACCACATAGATCGTAGGCATTAGCCAGAGCCACATGGTTGGGATCCAGGCTCATCTCCCCAAAACTGGAGACACTGGGATCCCCTGTTCTGCTCCAGGCCCCGGCTCTGAGCTAACAGCTCAAAGAAGCCCCATCACCCAAGGCTCGCTTTCATTGCCCTCCTGAAGGCAATGCAGCCCTGGGCAGGCAGAGCAGGGCCAGGGCCATGCACTGAGCAGGCTTCAGCCCAGGTTGTATGTTTGCTTCCCAGCTGCAGAGAGGTGTGGAAGAAAGTCCAGGCACTCCTCCTGGTGGCGACCAGTTTCTGAACCCAGACCAGAGAAGTGGTCCTCTATGGGCACTTGACCAAACAGCAAAGGGTCTCAACTGCTTCGACCAGTTCATCTCCTGCTTCAGGTATGCCCTGCGAAAGACCAGGAACCTGCTCACAATCAGGCACTTGGACCCCACAGTTTACAGCTGTATTAAAATGTGGCTGAGTGAAATGTACTGGGTACTGCAGGAAGACAGAAGAAGACAGGAAAGAAATGGTGGACCTCATATGGTGGAGAGGGGGCTAGCACAGACTTTTCAGAGGCAAACCCTCTGAAGTGAACAACGAGGAGGACAATGGTGAGGACAGCGATGATGACAAATATGACGATGATGAGTGAAAGTACTGGACTGGTGATAGGTGTGCAGGTGCACGGTACAAACTGTGTAATGGGACTCAGATAGTTTAACTGTCCAAGTGCGTTTTGGTCTGTCAGGTGAACCACAGTGATCACTTGATGGGTTGTTAGAGGTGCGATTATTTAAATATATAGAAATAAATATGTTTGCAAAAAAAAAAGGTTTCCTTCCCAGCAGCAAGTGGCAGCACCTGCAGCTGTTCCCCACGCGGCCCAGCAGAGGGCAGGCTCCTGCTAGGAAAGCCCCCCCCCCCCCATTTGCAGGAACTCTTTTTTCTTTGGCTGTTGCCTCCCACCCTCCCCTCTGCAATTAGTCACATCTCCCATTCACAAGCTGGAGGCCAAGGCCCTGCCTTTCCGCTCCACATCATCAGGCTCTGCTCTGCACTCTGGTCTCAGGAAAGAAAAGCCCAAATTGCTGTGTGGAATAACATCCCTGGGGGGACCGAGATCCAATCTCTGTAGCGGATCCCCCCCATCCATTACTAGCACGCAGCCCCTGCAGCATTCGGCGCACCAAGGTGCTTGCCTTTCCCCTTGCTCTGTGATCTGGGTCACGGGCATTTCCTAGCCCTGTTTACCAGGGGGCACTGGCACAGGAGTCATTTGCCCTACATGTGGCCTAGTGAAGCCTCCCAGGGATAACTGTTCTTCTGGCGTGGATTAGTACCTGCCAAGGTGTTGGGGCTTAATGCCCGTTTTATGGAAATGGCAAGCTTCTCCCCGCCTTGTTCCTGCAGTCATATGGCTGAGGGCAGGAGAAACTCGGGGGTGTCCAAACCCCAAGCCTTCAGGCTTGGACCTGCACGTATAATGCCTTCCAAAACACTCTGGAAATATCTGAAGCCCCTGGTGGGGGTGGAGGATGTTTGCCGGTCGTAGGGCCGCTTATGGTTCTGGGCTGGCTCATGGATTTGGACTTGATTTGGCTTGGAACATGAAAAATTTATTTAAAAAAAAAAAAAAGAAAAAAAAGCTTCTTGGGGGGAACCTTACTCACTGCAACGTCCGGGTTTCTGATTCCTCGAGCGCAGCACCGAGTCCCTGGCATTGCCTATTCCTCCCTCATGTCCTGACCCAGGCAGCGAGCAGCACACATGACCTCTGTCTGCACCACCTGTGGGGGCCACAGGCTCAGGGAGTTCAGAGGCTTTTACGGCTAACAAATGCCTCTCACTCAGCAATCTCCAGAGCCTTATGTATATCACAGGAGCATCCAACCCAAATTTGGGGCCCTCACTGGCCAGGAAATGGACATTAGCTTAGCAAGACGGGCCCTGTCTCAAGCAACTTACAGGTTAAACAGGCAAGGCAGAGAGGGGACATGGAGGCAGAGTAAGGTAGTGGGTCTTGCCTAAGGTGGCAGCCAGGATCTGCAATGTGGGCAGGGCAGCAGCAGAGGCAGATGCCATCCTTGGATCCTCTGTAATTGGGTGCCCAGGGCTAGTGCCCCAATCACTCACTGCTTATTACACTACTGAACAGCTGAGCCGGGGACAAGCCCAGGTCTTCTGAGTCCTAACTTAGCTTCCTGTCCGTGAAACAACAGTGCTAGACCTGCTAAGAGTAATGGCTGCCACCTGTATGCTCCAAACTCCCCCTGGCCATTAAGTACTCCCATCTACTGACCCACTTCCATCAAACAGGGCTTGCTTTTCCAATCCAAAGAAAAGCACCTCAATAGGCCTAGTTGTTCACATCAGATGTCTTCAAGCTCCACAACCCTGCACTGCTGACTGGCACATAAAGTATTTTTATCCCACATTCATAGAACTATTTCCAAAATAGCTCAGCCAGTGCTCCTCAGGCTTGCCAAAAATGTTTGCATTTGAGCTGGAGAAAAAGTCAGTCCAGCAGGAATTAGGAGCAGGAGAAAGTTCCTAGAATAGTGAAAAGGAAGAGGTGGCAAGACAGGGAGTGGCAGTAGGGTCACATCTTGCAGCGTGCACCTAGGTCAAGGGTGGCCAATTTGTGGCATGGGTGTCCCAAGTGGCACAGGCAGCCTCTGTGTGTGACATGTGGCAGATCAAGGGGGGTGGGACAGGCAGCACAGTGGCAAATAGAGCAGAAAACAGAAAGCAGAGCAGCAGACTGAGCCAGGGAAGGGAATCAGAGTGGCACTCGGAGAGGGTGAAGGACTAATTTGTGATATGCCTGACAAAAAAGTTGTTCTCCCCGTGATCTAAGTGATACTGAAAAGAAGATCCCTGAGCTACAGCCTGGATCATGCCCACCTCCCTCTAAGTTACATAAAGCCACTTGGTGTAACTATATTAATGCATAAATATTGCACATGAAGCACAAAAACTAAGGAGTGAACAGGAAGCAGCAGGCTGATCCCATATAGCACTGGATAAAGGAGAACTAATAACACCTCCCCCAGGAAAATGGGCTTGTGGCCTGGCTGGGCTCAGGCAGGGACCTGGCTTGGTTTTGTGATGCCATAAGCTCCTCAATGGGTTCCTGTTGTGAGTGTTGTTACGAGCGTATCTTGCCCTTGGGGCTGAACCCAGTAGTCAGGGGCCAGAGAATGCTACTGCCAACCTTAAGCATTAAACCTCATGAGACAGGACCAAGGACCAGGACAAGTGTCTTAGAAGTCATGAGATGCTGAGAGGAAATACAGTAGGTTTGTCTCTTTGCATGCTAGTGTTGAGTCTTTCGAGGTCACACTTTCCAGCTTGTGTCTGCTGGCTTGTTAGCTTCAAATGAAAGGCCAAGACTTTCACCTACTCAGGACTCTGGGGGCTGGGGCTCTCTGGAGAAACACCGAACGCAGGGAGGGCAATACCTGAACAGCAACACCCAGAGGGCTGGATCTTCCTACACTCCCAGTCTCCCTGTTCCCTAGAGGCATGCTGGTGCTCAGGGTCCTAGTTTCCTCCTGTCCTGGGAACCCAACATCCTTCAGCCTTCAGCCCTTTGATGGAGAGGGCAGACAGACACTCCCAGACCCCTCTGCAGTGCAGGCCAAAGGGGGAGGGTTTGAATGACCTCCTTGTGTACAGAGGGACACGGTGACCTGCCACGGCCTGTTCCAGACAGGGCAGAAGGGGGAGATCAGGAAGGGGAAAAGAAAGCAGGACTCAAGGAGCAGGACTGAGGCAGATCCTGCTCCTTGAGGACACACATGCCTGGGGGGGCTCCACACCCCAGGGGCCCGAATCCACATCGTAGCATCACAGCCCTATTCAGCACAGCCCAGGAGCCAAGGCATTTTGCTGCTCTTCAGAGCAGGACACCGATCCCAGCCCTGCTCCACTCCCCCGCCAGTCCCAACAGCCGGGCTGCCTCCTCCCTTTCCCAGCACTCGGTGGAGGACCGGGGAAGGGCGAGCAGGAGACAGAGGACTGGAAGCAGGGGCTGGAGAGTGCCCCCAGTCCTGCCCAAGTCGCCCCCTTACAGGGGGAGGCTCTGTTCCTCCCTAAGCATCTGGGCTTGGGCCCAGGAGAAGTTGTTAGAGTTTGGGAAGTGGTTGCCATGGCATCCCAGAGCCCGCCTCCCCCATCCTGCCTCTGTTCCCAGGGAGTGAGTCACTGGCCGGCCTCTGCTCACTATGGAAGTGTCTCTTCCTCTGGACGTGACTCAGGCAGCTGGGGGGATGGGTTTGCATCTTCTTCCAGCACCAAGCCCCCCACTATCCCAGCCATGGACCCCCACCAAACATCTCCCCTCACTGTCCCCAGGACACTGTGGTGGCCACATCACCCCGCCTGCACTCCACAAAGCCCCCTGCCCCGGGGTGGCCAGCAAAAGGCTTCCAGACAGAGGGGCCACACCTTCCTCTCCCAGGTAGGGCTGGGCCCGTCCCAAGGGGCTCCCAGCCCTGGGTGCTAAGTGGCAAGGCAGAGCCTACTGCACTTGGATGGTGCAGGGGTTATCACTGCAGACAGATGGGGAGCAAGTCCAGCCCCAGTTTGGGGGCCCTGGCACCACACCCAGAGGAGCACAGACCCCACTGCGGCAGAAAAGCGGGGTGCCCCTGGCTCTACTGCACTGGGGTTGAGGTGATCATCATGCTCACTACCTAGGAGGTCACTAAGCCATGGCTGTCCCTTGGTGACAACCTGGGGCAAGGGGGACCACAGGACACTTCCCCACCAGCCCTCTCCCAGGTCAGGTCCCTTTGTCAGAATGTGCCAGCCCCCCTAGACCTGCTGGGCCAAGGCAGCACAGGCTGTGCCCACTTGGCATCACTTGTCAGATGCTACCTGAGAGTAGTTGAAGCTTGTGGCTCAGATACGTTGCAGTTGGGCGGTGCTGTGGGGACCCTCGAGGGGCTGCATGAACTCTGAATGGAGGCAGGGATGTTTCCTGGCCGTGGCGGGAGTCCCTCCTGCCTGGCATTCAACGCCGCACTGGAGTTCTGCCTCGGGGCGTCCAATCGCGGGGGCAGGCCACACCGGTCTGTCTTGGCATGTGCTGAGTCCCCGCCTGCTGGGGGCCGCTTATCCCCTAAGCGCAGGGGCTCTACAGGCCGGTAGGGGTTCAGCATCCCTTCAGAGCGGCGCTGGGAGCTGGGGCTGGCAGCCCGTGGGCTGGGGGAAAAGTTGCCGGGAGACGCCACCTTCTGCGGGGAGAAGCCCAGAGCTCGTGTCTGTGTCAGCCGATGAGCTGGAGAAAGAGCAAAACAGTGGGGTCAGAGCCAGGCAGGGTTCAGCCCCCAGGGCACAGCTCGCTATGTGCCCACCTAGGATCAACGGCCCCCTCCTCCTCTTCTCCCATTCCCTTTCCCTTGGGGCTGCCAGCTGCCTTCCTCCTCTCACAAGGAGGGTTGTTTAGGCACAGGCAGGAGAGGCCTGGAAGCCACAATCACAGGTAACAGGGACAGGGTTCCCCTAGGAAGGGACCTCTCAGGGCTGATGGCATCAAGGACCCTCAATAAGCCACAATGAGGCACCGCTGCAGTTCTGCACAGCCCTCAGGCTGGCATGAGCCAAATCTGCTAGCTGCTAAAGCAAGGGACAGTAGCCAGCCCAGGGCATCCAGCCCTGTTCCAACAAGTCTCCTCATACAAGACCCCCCTTACAAAGGGACTCAGGTGAGTGGCCTGCCCAGAGGTTTCTGGGTGAGCCCCCACTCCACACACTTACACAGGGAGGCACATCTGCAGGGGTCATGCTTGTCCAGGTAGTGCTCCAGGGTGTCCCACCCACCGCCGACACGCACCATCACATGGCTCCTCAGCACCTGTTAGGGCACCAGAGAGACAAACACCCGTCAGCATCCCTGGGGTGAGTGAAGGGAGGGTCACCCACCTGGTTACACCCACTGAGGTAACCAGACTCTCCTTTTGCAGGTGAGCAGTGGAATCAGCCTCCCCCACCAGGGCCTCCCCTCTACCCCACTTCCAGTAATACCATGCAACATTTGGGCTTATAGGGTTCATATTCCAAAGGAATAATTGCACCTGCTGCTAAAATGAAGCCACTTCTGGGGCATAAAATTCCAGTGCACATTGGCTGGGTACAACACTGGGGGTGGAAGTGCGGGACAATACTGTGCCCAACCAAAAGTGCACAAGGGAATTTAGGGAGGTAGAATGCAACAGCTCAGGCTAAACTCTGGACAGGGCCCTGAAGGACATGACCCCTCTGCTTGGTGGCACTGCAGTGACTATTTCCAGAGGTCTTTACGTGCATCTCACTACTGAAGCCTACTGATATCTATCTCTCTCACAATTGTAAGCCATTCCCCATTTTACAAATAGGGAAACTGAGGCACAAAGTGAAGCTAAGTATATTGCCAAAGGTAACACACAGCAAGGAAATAGCACAGTCAGGATTAGGACTCATGGTGGCACAGCTCATGGGTACCTCTCACACAGCACAGTACTTCCAGCAACATCAGAACAGGGTATTGGGCCAATCCTGACTCATAGGGTCTCCTACTGAACCTGCAGCACTGCATCTAGCAGCACCTGGCTTTCAAGTCAAAGTGTCCCATTCAAACTTGGCCCAGGCCCAACTCTGCTTAGCTTGTGAGGCATGCTGTGAGTGCAGGCAGAGCCTGTTAGGGCTGCACAACTGTCAGTCGAGCCACTATCAAAGCTCCCATGGTTAACTATGAAGCCTTACGGAAAGGAACCCTGCCCATGTCATTAGGCACTGTTTTTCCCCCGTCTGTGTTGCAAGGAGGGACAATTGTTCAGCATAAGCATTCACATCCTGCAGCTCCTGCCCCACTTGAGGTCCCCATCCTGTTTGAAGCCTCAGTGCTGGCTGCTGGGATGAGAAGCTGCTGATCTGAGAAGGTTTTGCTTTAAAAAGTGATGTGCAGAAGCAGGTTCCAGGGCCTTGGCTCACAGGTCACCGCTGGGCCCCTATTGTCTCCAGCCCACTGCACTACATATCAGCCCTACTAGGGATGAGAAAAGCAAGGCTGGAAGAGGAGCTGGGTGTGGTTTTCCTAAAGTGATAGGTGGCTTGGGATCCCTGCCCTGGTTCCAAGCCCTATCCTGAACACTCATCCCCAGGCCACACTTAACAGACTTCTCCTCACTGATCTGCTGCGACTTGAGTTCTGGGTCCTCAGCTGACCCTGCAGCAACAGAACCCCAAGGATAGCTTTATGGTGGAGACACAGCACTGGGAATCAGGAGGTCTGTCTTGATTCCCAGCTCTGCCACAGACCTCCTTTGCAACCTTGGTTAAATCACTCCACCTCTCTGTGTCTCAGTTTCTCCACCCATAAAGCAGAGATGACAACACTTCCCTTGGACATAGCAAGGTTGTACAGATAAAACTAGTGAATTTACATGACAGATTTGATGATGGGCAGTGCACATGGGCCCAGGTGTCAAAGAGACAGCATTCTCACCTCCCACCCTGACAGTCTACTCAAGGGGAAACTGGAGATGTAGATATACAGCCCTGAGTATAAGGGCTTCTGCAGAACAATTCTGCCATAGCTAAAGTCCTTAATGACTGATCTTCCGTTCACCGTTTTCCTCTAAGGGAGCAAAGGGGCTGTTTTTCTGCACACTCTAAGGAACAAAGGGAGTTCAGAGCCTCCGGTGAGTCAACGCTATGTAAGTATGTTGACTTCTGCACACAGGATGTGATACAAGGCTCTCCAGGAAGCATCACCAGCTTTGCAAACTGACAGGACCCAGGGATCATTGGAAGATGAGATCTCCCCACCTCCCTGTATTCCAGTAGACCTTTGTATCTGCTCTAAGCTGTGACTCTGCTTATCCCCTCTTGGGGGACTTTCTTAAGACTGAACAGAGTCTTGTGTGAAGCTCAGTATCTGGCTGCTAGGAAATCATTCCCAAACCCCTGGCCTGAAGTTGCCCTGATATTTCAGACCCTTCCAGTCAACACTCCATTCATGGGTGGGGGGAAGGTGGACTTAGGCAGACAACAAAGAGACTGTGGGTAATTGGTCGCAGAGAATGAGAAATTCTACCTGAAATTGGACCGCGTGAGCTTGTCAGTACAGGACAAGACAGCTGGGTTCAGCCCATATAATGCAAGGTGTGAAGATAACATATTGATTAGTTAAATCCTACACACAATCAGAATAAGCATCAAAGAACAGAAGGGACAGGGAAGGGAGGGAGTGGGATGAGATGGGGAGATGAGAGACAGTGTGGTTTATTGGTTAAGGCACTTGATTGTGAGTTGCCAACTTGAATGCTATATCCGCCTCTGCCACTGATATGCCATTTGACTCCTGCCAGGTCCCTTAATCTCTCTTTGCCATTGTTTTCCTATCTGTAACAGGAGGATAACAATACTCATTTTCTGTTGTAAAGTGCTTTGAGAGTTATGACTATAAGAGTTTAGCTATCTAGGCCTCTTGTCTACACTAGGATTTTAGCTACTAGCGCACAGTGTGTCTCCCCAAGCCAGTTCACCAGCAGTGCAAGTCCTATGGTAGACAAAATGCAAGACTCTGATAAGTGATAGGGGCTGGGAGATCAAATGACCATGTGAAACAGCAGCTTGAAAAGGGATACTTCGGAATCAAAATGGAAAGAGGAAAAGAGGTTTTGTTCTAACACTGATAGAGAGATGTTCAGGATGGTTAAAATGTTTTGTTGAAAACTAGCATAAACACAACCCTGTTGTCTGTGCAGCCAAGGCTGAATGTGTAGCACATGACAGTGAAACTGACCAACAAGCATGAAACTGACCAGCCTACTTCTCCTCTGGGTCCAAACTAAGGAAAACGCAAAAAAAGGGAAAAGTGTTTAAAATGTAGACAATTCCCAGAGTTTTAGTCAACTTAGGCCACGCTGTGCTCAGATCTGTATATGCCTGCAGGAAAGAAACCTCTTAGAGCTCATGCTTTTTCAATAGAAGAGACAAAGAGTAGGAGAAAAGGATTATCCACCCATTTTACAGATGGGAAACTGGGTCATAGGGAGATTCAGTGATCTGCACAGTCCCATAGGCAGAGCCAGGAATTTAAATCAGATCTCTTAATCCTCAGCATAGTGTCATACTCACAAGATTAGAGAAAGTCTCTGCATTTCCCCAGTGGGTTCAAACTCTCAAAAGCAGGGAGGTGTCACATGGAGGAACTGGCTTCTAAATATAGGTAGCAGCAGATTCAACACTAGAATTCACCTCTGAACCACAACTGCATGCATTAGGTGAAAGTAGAGCCCACAGTGTGAGGAAGATGAAAGGAACTGGCCTCATAAGAGAAGCAGCCATGTTTTCTTTCTGCACATTGGTTACGTACTTGTAGAGAATGGGATCCTGATGTGTTAGCTTCACAAGGCTTGGGTGTGTCTAGCCCTGATCCAGCCAGCTGTGACAGTCACTGCCTGAGCTACACAATAGAAACCAGCACAGCACCAACCATCAGCCCACCCTGCAGAGGTCTCAACTATTCCAAGCTGCTGAAATGAAGCTGCCTGTTCCCTGTATGCTAACATTTCTTCTCCCAGTGTCACCTCAGTTCAGCTCACAGCCACTCTTGACATCTCTGCAGACAACAACGTAACACAGGGGCAACATTAGGGGAGACTAAGTGAAGACAGACTTTGTCACCATGCAAAACCAGTGGCATCTTTCCAGCTACTGCAGATCAAGTGATGGCTCACGGTGGGGGATTTTGCCTTGCAAAGAACATTGCCATGAATTATAAAGGGCCGAGAGATCCCATGACACAGATGAAATTTCAAGCGTCATCTGGATTCTTCCTCAGCCCCACAAGGAGCAAAGCAGAACGATAATGGTGAGAGCTTTATGGCTGCAATGTGTTCTGCAAATATTTGCAAACCCTCAACCTCGGCACAGGAAGGGGCCAGGTGTTACAATCCCCACTGTTGGCACTGCTTGTCACAATGCCAAGGAGCAAGTGGGTTAGCACTCAGGAGCTCCTGACTCCCACTCCTGTGCTCCAGCCACCAGAAAATACTGCCTTTCCATTGAATGAAAGTTTCCCATGCTGGTTAGGGCTCCCCCAGAAGGAAGGCTGGGGAAGAGAGAAGGGAGAGGGGCAATCTATCATTGCTGGCAACCTGACAGTCTTCCCAGCACAGAACAGGGGAGGGAGAGGGGGAGTGGGATGGGAGGAGGTAGGAAATGTGGCTGTGGAGGATCTTACTCGAACAAAGATCAGCGCGTTGGAGTCTCCCACTTTATATTTACCCTCTGAGACTTTGATCATGGGGAACTGAGAGGGGCAAGTGCAGCGACCTAGGATCTCTCGCACCTAAGAGAAGGAAAAAAGGTAAAGAAGTTAAGGCTCAGCATCTCACACAGAAGAGACTCCCTAGAGCCCAGCACGCAGCTGAACCCGGAGGTGCACAAACCCCCACCCACACCCAGCACAAACCTCTCCTATGTCTGCATGCATAGGAGGACATGGAATGGTCCCTTGCGGGGCCACAACCTGAGCCCAGCTGCACGTGACTGAGTGCCGCCCCAAGGTGGGGAGTGACCTGGGCTGTATCTATGTGATCCGAGTGGACTCTCAAGATGGTGCCTGGGAGGAAAGGAAGCTGGCCAGAACTCTCTGCCTGCCTGGACTGAATTCTGGGAGGGAGGCCCCTTGGCTGGGTAGCCTTCTTCTTTTAGATAAAAGGGTGTAGAAGCACAGAGAAGGACAGAATACAATGAACATCACAGGTGGCCCCTGGTTGCTGTGTGAGAGGACTACAGGCTACTGCTGCTGCTACAGCACAGCACAGCAACAGATAGAGCAGGAAGCAAAAGACAGAGCAGGAGATCAGGCAGGGAACACAGAACAGGGAGCAGAAAGCACAGCAGTAGATTGGATAGGGGGAGGGGGATCAGAGCAGTGCTCGGGCAGGATGCGGAACTAATTTGTGCCATGCCTGCCAAACAGGTTGGCCCCTGACTTCCGCTAGAGGCAGGATCGTCCCCACCCAAACCGTCCCAGCCAGGTCCTTGTCTGACCCATTCCTAAAACTATATGACAGTGCTGTCATGCAGCTACAAGACATGCATCCAAAGCGCCCTCACCTGCCACAGGTGAAGCTGGGGGATGAGGGCTGACAGTGTGCCACGCTGCAAAGGTTCTTAAAATGCGCTCAAGAGATCAGGACTCTGCATCTCAGCTGTGACTGGTGCCTTTCCAATGCGCCACATTCTCATTTGAGCCCTGTTTAGGCTGAAGGCCAGGAGTCCTCTTCTCCCAACACCTCCCCACAGGAGCTGCATGGAAGGGGCTGGGGAAGTCCAGGCTGGCTTGCGGTGGGCAGGAATCACCTTCAGGAAGAAAACTGAGTGGTCTCTGCCTTGGCAGCCTGGGATGAGTCAAAAGCAAATACCTCCCTCTCACCTAGACATGGACCCTCCTAGCACTGGGCTGCTGCTGTTTGTGCCAACCCCTCCAGCCAGGCAGGGCCAGCATAACCATAACCAGTCCTACCAGTCCTGCCTCAGCTACCTCCATATGAGCAATCAGCTTGTGCCTTCAGGTCCAGTCCTGCAGCCGGGCTCCCTCAAATCCTGAGACTGGCTTGAAAATCATCAGGTTTTTTTTTTACATGATACAAAGAACATTGCCTCAGCTACTTGGAATTTAGCAAGTCTGCTCCGGGAGGCAATCGAGACTAACGGCTTTGGATAGTGCCCCAGGCATCACTTCCACCTTAACTTCACACACACACACAGACAGAGCTCATGGCATCTGCAAGATCACACACACACACTCAGCTCATGGCATCCACAAAATCCAAGTTTACAGCACCGGGCAGCAAAACCTAGCACACAAACATTAGCTGAAGCTGATAAAGACATCCAAATCCTGCTGCCTCAGCTCTTGTGCTCCTGAACAAACCGTTACAAGAAATATTCACTTCACAATAGGTGGAAGGGAGCCAGTTGAGCCGGGGAGGGCTGGGTAAGGAAAATGGACATGTTGTATAAAGTCCAGCGTCTCTATTATGGAGTCTGCCCTTGATGCATTAGCTCTAACGACCCACGGACACTGTGTTTGTGCCAAGAAGCAAGTTACGGGAAAGCACAAGCAAGGACAAAGTTACCAGGGAGGATTTCATTTGTGTGCAACTGTCTATCTGTATTCAGTAACACTTCTTCCTGCCCCCACCCCTGGGATTTGCTCGGTATGGGCTCTTCAGTACTGGGCTAGAAGGGCCTTCCTGGGTCATCGAAGCAATCCCCTGCTGTGGCAGGCAATCACTTCACGTAAACCCTCTCATTAAGGCACCAGCAGTCTCGGGGAACCAGTCTCCCAACCAATCCACTGGCTCTGTTATTATAGCCACCAAGCTGTCGTGGCTCCAAGAACGGCAGTCGCTCAAAGGTGATCTGCAAAAGATTGAAGAGCACTGCTGACAACCTTTCTGGCTTCCTTATGCTAGTGCAGCTAATATTTTAACTCAGGGATATTAGGAAAGCGTGTCTAGTTTCCCCTGCATTTCCTCTTTGGGATTTCAGGACTTGTTTATTAGAATCTCTTCTGCCTTATCCAGAGGAACAACAGGCGCTGAATGTCTAACAATGGCCTCAAACCCAGTTCCTAACACACCTTCAACGCAGCATCGTCAGCCCCTGCACTACAAGCCTGACAATAGTTAGCACAACTCTCAAAGCCTCAGCTCATGAAAACCAGGGACTCTGGGAGCAGCTTTGCTTCTATTTAAAAGAAGCAAACTTGCTCCACAACTTGGAGCATGAAATGTTTGAAGAAAGGGCCTGAGGATTTCAGAAAGAACAACAAAAAGTAACAGCTTTTTAGAGATTTTTAAGTCAGCCTCATGATTTGTTAAGGGCCTGGCTCAGTTTTCATATACCTGGTATATTGACAGGACTGAAAATGAATGTAGCTAGGCAAGTGGGCCCCTCCGTGCACGGATGGTTTCCATTCAGATACATATAAACAAGTCCCCAAATCAACCTGAGCTGAAGTGAAATGACCTGCTTGTTCCCAAAAAACTCTCACGTTCCCTTTGCAGGGCTCTGATCTAGACCAGCTCAAAGATTTTTTCCCCAGATGTTTACTACATATTGGAGTTATATAGGTCTTAAAGAAACATAGACAGCTATAGAGAGTTTTAAATGCCTCTTCCCCTCTTTTCACTTGACACCCTTATCAGCCAGCATAAAATTTCCCTGGTTCTTCAAATGCCCATACAGTATTACAGTGTGGCCTGGATCTCAATGTCCAGAGATTTAAAAAACATCAAGCAGAAAAAAAGTCAGTCATTTTTAAGGATTTTTCCAGGCCTTTTTTCACCTATCATAAAGCAGCAATAAGAAGGGTAGAAATCCAATATTTTCCCCATTATAGGGCATCTTCTTGTCAGTACAGAGGTGGAAAAGGATCTTGGAGTCATTACTGATGCCAAGATGAACATGGGTCGGCAGTGTGGGGAGGCAGTCAGGAAGGCCAACCGCACCTTGTCATGCATCCACAGATGCATCTCAAGCAGGTCCAGAGAGGTGATCCTCCCCCTGTATGCGGCACTGGTCAGGCCGCAG